ACCTTGGCATGCTGGTCTTCAGAGAAGAGATCGAGACGCACCTGCGCAAACAGGCCTACAAAACCCAGAGCAGACCCGCAGAATGAAGCACATACACAAGCAACAGCACAGCAACAGAGAACAGTTGACTTCTTATCATTTCAAAACAATCCATCAATTACAGAATGTTAAAGGGTTAGTTCACCCAACGATTTATATTGTGTTATTAATGACTCATTCCAGTCCCCGTGAGGCCTTCGTTCATCTTCAGAACACAAATGATGATATTTTAGATGAAATCCTGGAGCTCTCTGACCTTCCATAGACATCAGCAGTTCTGAGATGTTCATGGTCCAAAAGAAGAACTAAAAACACTCCATGTGACTTCAGGGGTTCAACTTACAACATACAAAGCTCCATACCTTTGTGTGTCAAAACATCTTGTTCTTAGAGCTTTTTTGGGCAAATTTCATCTTAATTATGTTCATTTTTTGTAAACGAAGATGAAAGAAGGTCTCGGGGGAATGGAATGACATGATGATGATGATGATGAGTGATTAATACAGAATTCTATATGTTTGGGTGAACTAACCCTTTAAGTATGGTGGAAGGATGGTACCAATCGGTATTAATGAACTGTTTACATCATTTACACTTGATCTAGGTTTTATCAAAGGCTTTTTGGATTTATATGTGAATAACGGTCAGTTCTTTTTTGGAAGTGAGTGATTGAAGAGAAATAATGTGGGCCACATTCATGAAAACTGTTTGATTTGTGCAGCTACAAGCTATCTTACTGAATAGCTTATAAAATGTTTTCTACAAATGATTTTGCACAGAAGTTGGTCTGCTCATTAAGATGTGCCAAGTGTGACGCATGTCTTAGTTGTTTTTTTATGTTGAAATGACCTGATGGAGCTATATGTTGTGTTTTTATATTACTACTGTCGAAAGTGTTTGCGTCGACGCAGAAAGGGAGAAGTTTTGCATACATAGATGAAAGGGACAATCATTCACAAACTGCTCAAGCTGGATTTATGTTGGAACAGTATTCAGACTTTTCACAAAATCTTCCTCAGTTTATTTGCTGATTGAATAAGCATGGAGCTGATGTGCAGTTTGATGCATGTGTCAGGCTTTTACTTTACACCGTGTGTGAGGACACTGCTCAGTGCCATACAGTTAAAGGGTTAGCTCACACCAGAAATGAGAATTCTGTCAACTTGCTGACCCTCATTAAGATCTAAATTTATCTTCAGAACACAGATGAAAATACATTTGAATCGAATCTAAGATATTTTTTGTCAGTTTTGAAAGCCTGATGCTTTGTAATGAGCCAATTCTACTAATCTAAATCTGCTGAAAAAGATTCAATGGAAAGTTTTGGCTTTTATTCAAGTTAACAATCGGCAAACTTAACCAAACTCAATCAGTCACTTGAGCAAGGACAAACCTTGTTGATTCTTGCAGAAGTTCACACGTGAAGAAAGAACCTCATTGGTTCTCACTCATCAAGCAAGCATACTTGAGCTTTGTGGTCAAATCTAAATGCTGATTGGTTATATATGCGAATTAAAAACATCATAAATATGTCAAATCTCTTCGGAAGGTTTAGATCAGTGTTTCTCTACCACATTCCTGGAGGACCACCAACACTGCATATTTTGAATGTCTCCTTTGTCACACCCATTTCAGGTCTTTCAGTCTCTGCTAATGATTGGAATCAAGTGGGTTTGGTTAAGGAGACATGGAAAATGTGCAGAGCTGGTGGTTCTCCTGGAACGTGGTTGAGAAACACTGGTTTAGATCGTGGATATCAAACTCAATTCTTGGAGAGCCGGAGCTCTGCACAGTTTAGCTCCCACCCTGATTAAACACAGCTGATCCAACTAATCAAAGTGTTCAAGACTACTAGAGACTAGTAAGCAGGTGTAGGTTGGAGCTAAACTGTGCAGAGCTGCGGCCCTCCGGGAATTGAGTTTGAGACCACTGGTTTAGATCAAATTGCTTAATTATGAATTCCATTGGGAAAACAGAAATCTCTCCTTTTTTTAATAAATAGATGATGAACAGATTTCTTATAGGTTTGTGAGGTCCTTACCGTGAAGAAACAGTGGCAGAATTCAAATGTTTTTAGTGGAACTAATTCTTTTATATTCTGAAGTCTGTGTTTCACTCTCTGCAACCACTTTGAGATGAATATGTGGTGCAATATTGAGTTATTAAAAATAATAAATTCTCTGATCTCTGACTCTACTGATGGGGACTTTATATTTTAGTTTCATTTAAATCAGCAGGTAGATTAAAAATGACTAATGCTATCTGATGTAGAGCCTCAAATTCATCAAGATGTTGAATAACATCATTGTTCATTTTCTAACACAAATAAAAGAAATACACAACCAGACTTTTTAATGCTGTTTGTCAAAATATGTGCTTGATTTTAAAGTATGTTGTTCCAAATATTTCATATAGCATGTAAATTAGCTACTACGATCTAGATCTCAATGTCTACAATCGTACACATTTTCAGGGTTTGTAAGGGTGCTGGAAATCCTTGAAAATGTCACTTTTTTTAGTCTGCTGTTTTCAAGGTTTGTAAAGTGTTTTGATTTTGGATGAAGTGACAATAATAAATGATTAATCTGTGCACTACGACTAAGCAGTGGGAAAACACAAAATGCATGGAGATTAAAAGACTTTATGACAATGCACAAGATTAAAATGAACAAATCCAAAATGATTTTTTTACACATGCATAGTCCTCAAGAAATCAAAACTAACTATATGATTTTGTTTGCGCAGATTGTCAGTTTTGTGGTGAACAATTCATCTGTGCATGAAAAAAAAATAGCTTGACCTTCAAATCTTTAATCAGAATCTGAAAATGCACCCTGTTTGTTTTCAGGAAAATGATCAGATTGCGTGATTTTGAGGCATTGGGTGTTTAACATATTTACCAGTGCTGCTCCAACTGTCAGTTTTGACAACAAACAGAAATGGTTCGAGGAGGTGTTTGTTAGGTTGTAACAACTCTTCTAAAACCTTTTTTCTGATCTTTCCGAAATGCCAACTTCACTATATTCATTCAGACCATGATAGAAAAAACAAGCCACCCCCACTGTTTGCTCATTTAAAGTTCTAAAAACTGGCATAATGCAAAGAACAGGGAAAAAAACTGTCTCAGCTTCCGGTTCGTGGACACTTTAATCTACCGCGCAACACAGAGTAGACGCGCATACCAATTTGAAGCACAGACAGCATGACTGTCCTCCCCGGAACCGCAGATGGCGTCCGTGACCGCAGTCATTTACCACGTCTTCATACAATTAACATGAAAACTAAACACAAAGTAATATTTAAACTGAATATGAAAAGTTCAAATTCAAATGAGGATAAAACAATTGGCCACTCTGGTTTTCTTTTTATTCAACAATTTGGTTTTGAATGAATCATTTACCTGAAACATATTTCATGGATGAGATTATATGGAATATAATATTCTATTAGTCATTTAATCAAACTGAACAGTCGATTACCAATTGTCAATAATCCTTTAAGAAAATTAGATGAATTAACAATCCCAATTATTTATTTATTAATTTTTTTGCAGTGCATATCCTGCATGCCCCTCCGCTATGCCACTGATTTGTCCCTTTAACTGCCTGCTCTACCAAACGGCTGACCATAATTTGAGTGTTTTAAATAATGGCTGTAAAAGTCTTAAAACATAATCCTGTTGCACTACTACACTTGATTTTGGTTTTATTGTTAAAAATAAAGCAAAGCATGTTAAATGAGAAACTGAAATATTTAATGGCATACTTCAAAAAATAAAGGTGATTTAGTATTCAGAAATGTTTTATTTTGAATATGTTTTTCAATAAATTGGTCTTACACTTCATATTGTCTGAGTTTCATATGTATTAATTCAGGTACTTTTACCATAAACTGACACATCAACCACTTGGTAGAAGCAGACATTTTGGAAATCAAGGAATGTGTTTAAAAAAAACTGCATTGAGTGTGTTAACTAGCAACATTAGGAGTTAAGAAATGCAATACAATTTTTTTTCTTGGTGGGGTGTAATTGACATTAAAAAAAATTTAAAAATAAAGAGTAAATGACAGTTATTCAAAGCTGTGCTTGTGGCAAACATGCCATCAGAAATGTTGCTTGGAGTTCTGTTCTACAGAACAACAAATGACATCTGATGAAATATGTAAATATAAGTAAATAACCACGATTGTATAATGCAGAAAAAATTTGATCATGCAAATGTAAAGTGCTTAAATTTGACTTTGGAAAAGGTGTAAGAACGCTGCGCTTTATAAATGAGGCCTTTGTGTGAGAGTTTCTCCACATTTAGATGCTATAAATGAGTGATGCCACAGAATAAACCTTAAAATATAGTCTTGGTGCTCAGTAGTCCTACAGTGATCAGCCTATATAAGTACACCCCTCTCAAATCTCTCTTTTAAATTCATATTTTTAATAGGAAGCTATACAATATTATATTTATGTATATACATTAGATTAGTCAGTGCTGAAGCCAAATCTGGAGCTTATCTAACAAAATAACTCACCATAACGGTCCAAATACTAGTACACTCAAATGTTATAGAAAAATATTAAATACAAATTTAAAAAAAGAGAGAGAAAAAAAGAGAAGCATAAAATAATAATAATAATAATTAAATTTACATTTTGTAAGTTGTCATCATTTTTTGCTTGAATTTATCTTTCAGTTTCTAAATATGTTTGGTGACTAAAATATTATTTTAATAAATATATCAGTTTAATGAATCTGTTTTGTTTAAATGCACCAAAATATATAGCCTATGTTCACTGAGCGATGGATACAAATATTCTTTTTTAAAATAGGGTGTACTCAATTATGCTGAGCACTGCACATCATAATTTAAGTTGACTTATATCCAAGTGCTAATAAACACTGACTCCCAAACATTGAACTAGAAAATAACTAACAGTCTCTAATAAACCAAAGTAACACATCAGCTACTAACAGTGAAGTTTATTATGACTCATGAAGGTTTCTCTTTTCACAGCGTAATATCTATCTGTTTCTCACTGCTATATAATAAAGATTCTGTTAATACCTTTTGATTCCATTCACAATTGCACTCGAACACTTGCAGCTGTATAATTTAAGCTATAAAAATGTCGTTTTGAACAGTCGCGGTGGTTTGTAAATCCACTATTTGACTAGAATTTCTTAATTTAAGACATATGGAATAATACAAGTGTATTCGTTTTAATACAACAGACTAAATAACAGAAAATAAAAGTGAGGACAGTCCCAGTTGGAGAGTTGAAAACTGACTAAAATGTCCACTCGTCTGATGTTCAAAGTAATGTGAATTCTGACGACGGAGTGGGTTTCGCTGACTGATCTCATCAATGCAGCAACTGATCTGGCTGGATGTTCATAGACTTATAAATTTCCTTCAGAAGAAGTAGAGCTGTGTCTTCAGATTCCCTGAGGAAAAAGATGAACAATAAAAGAGATTATTAAACACAAGAGGAGAACACATCTAGTCTGCATTATTGAAGATCCTCACACACACACACCAGTAACACAGATGACTCTGGAGTGCAAACAGGTATTCGTTGAAGCTCTCGATGGGTTTCTCCTGCAGGACGTAATCGATGCGGTTTCCTCCGTTCAGCAGACCCACTTTTATTCGGCTTTCCTCCTCCTTCTGTGGCTCAGGACTCTCCAGCATCTTGCTCTCCTCTGCGAACAGACAGTGAGATTTGGATTTTGACCGAGTCTGAGCTGAAGATTGGGCAGTGTGAAGTGATTAGGATAAGAGGATATGACTCACCTTCTCCTCTCTGCATCTCCTCCTCTGCTTTGATCTGATTGGCCACCATGGCGAGCTGTTCGTGCAGTTGAACAGAAGAGGTGTGAGCTCGAGCAAACTCATTGAGAGTCTGCCAAGCGCTCTTCAGAGAGCTGATAAAGCCCTGCTTTAGGTCAGAACCCATCCTGGATAAACTCTCTTTTAATTCTGCACAAAACACAAACAAATAGACAAATAAATATAAAAAACTAATACTACTAATAATAATAACAATAATAGTATACATGCAGTTAAAGTCTAAATTATTTGGCCTCTATAATTATTTTTTCTTTTTCAAATATTTCTTAAATGTTGTTTAACAGAGCAAGGAATTTTTCACAGTATTTCCTAGAATATTTTTCTTAACGCCAATTTAACTAGCATATGTTTTACTTAGCAGATGCCCTTCCAGCCGCAACCCAACACTGGGAAACACCCACACACTCTCTCATACACACACATACAATACAGCCAATTTGGCTCATTCAATTCACCTATAGCACATATCTGTGGGTGAAACCGGAGCACCCGGAGGAAACCCATGTTAACACAGGGAGAACATGCAAACTCCGCACAGAAATGCCAACTGACTCAGCCAGAGCTTGAACCAGTGACCCTTCTTGCTGTAAGGTGATCGTGCAACCCACTGTGCCACCATAACACCAACTGTTGAACAATGGCTTGCCTAATTACAAGAGTCAGACAGAATCTGCGAACATTTTATAATATTTTTGCGCAGAATTTTGTAAAAAAAAATTAAAAAATAGTTGGATTTAAGCAGAATAATTTTGGCTTTAACGTAACTAAAAAACTTAATAATTTTTTTTTTAACTTTAATTTTTTTTAATGCAAATCCAATTAGATCTGTTTGGTAAACAAAGTCTCTCACATAATAATATATCTACTAAAAAGACAATATTAATTTACAAAAGCATAGTAAATAAATCATATGAACATTTTCATATCAGTCAGTAATATTACTTAAATTAATTTAAAAATGGAATAAATATACATTTACACACATTTACAGAAATCATTTAATAGACTCACTGAAATGTTAAAAATCAGCGGAACTCTGATTGTGATATCAGATTGCGTGTGGGCCTACTAATTACCCTAACTTGCCTTATTAAGCTAGTTTAAAAATGTCACTTTCAGCTGTACAGAAGTGTCTTGACAAATATCTAGTCAAATATTATGTGCTGTCGTCATGGCAAAGACAAAAGAAAGCAGCTATAAGAAATGAGTTAATAAAACTATTATGTTTAGAAATGTTCTTAAACAGAACATGTAATATATAAATACAGATGTCTACAAAATGAATATTAATTAATATAAAACGATATTTAAATATTAAAACAAGTATAACATGAACAAAATATATAAAAATGAAATGAATATTAAAACCTTTCAATTGTATTTATTATTGAAATACGTTTATTTTCCTTTAGCTTAGTCTCTATTTCTAGGGTCACCACAGTGAAATGAACTATTCCAACTATTCCAGCAAATGTTTATCACAGTGGATGCCCTTTCAGCTGCAACCCAGTATTGGGAAACACCCATACACATTCATTCACACACATACACTAAGGCCAATTTAGTTTATTTAATTACACCTATAGTGCATGTCTTTGGACTTGTGGGCGAAACTGGAGCACCCGGAGGAAATCCACAAGAACTCTGGGAAAACATGCAAACTCCACACAGAATCGCCAACTGACCAAGCTGGGACTCGAACTAGCGACCTGCTTGCTGTGAGGTGACAGTGCTAACCAATGAGCCACTGTGCCGCCCCAATGATATGATATATACATATTATAGTTAAAATGTATTAATATTTAAAGTACTTATGATTTAATCAATAACTATCATAAACATTGTTTTTCATTTTTAAATTCAAAATAAATGAGAAAGATCATTCAAAAAATGCACAGAAATGGTCTAATACATTACCGAGATGAAGCCTTTTCCTCCCTTTATGATGAGGGACCAAAACCGGCTCCAGGTCAATGTCTGGTAAGATCATGGGTTCAATTCTATAAGCAACTGGATCCAGCTAAAAGCACAAAGAAGAGGCTCATTATTGTATCTGCACAATTTAACTTGTCCATTACTCTCGATTTACACAGACAGTTTGGTTCTAAGATGTTTTTGTTTCCAAAAGTTGTAGATAAGCAGTAGACAAGCTAAGACACAGCACTCACAGGATGGTAGATGTTGAAGAACCCTTTGCAGGTGGGAAGCTGGTAAGACTCTTCAATTTTCTCCACTCCACGAACAGTTAGAAACATCCCGATGGGAGAACCCAGAGCGAAGAAACTCACCGGTTCAAAGTCCAGAGCATGATAGATCACTGACACCTGCACGAGAACATTCACACACACACAAAAAAAAATTACACTCCACATGTAGTGGCTAGTAACTGCAATCACTATTACTAGTCTTATCTTTTAAAATGAAATAAAACATAGCCTAAGATGAACCCTTAAACATAGATTAACCTTTGACTTATAAATTGATCAGACTAATTCTTAATTCATGGGCCCATTTACATCTAAAATGAAGAAGAGTATCAATCAGATCAAAAGTAGACAATGATTTGATTTAAAGTTTAAACAGGGTCTAAAATGTTTCGCATAATCACTCAAGGTGTTAGTTCAACCAAAATGGAAAATTATGTTATTAATTACTCGCCCTCATACAGTTCCAGAGACAAGTGTTCATTTTTGGAACACAAATTATGATATTATAAATGAAGTCTGAGAGCTCCCTCATTCTCCATAGACCGCAATGGTCCAGACTTTGTATAGTTCGGTAACTAATAACATCTTTAAAACAGTCCGCATGTCTTCAGTGGCTCAATCGGAATATTTTTGAGCTACGAGAATACTTTTGTGTGTACATAAAACAAAAATGGCAACTTTATTAAACAATTTCTCCTTGTATCCAAAGAGGCATATGTCACTGAACAGTGCTCATGAACATGCGCAATATACTGACACTAAGAGAGAAAAAAAACAGTTGAATAAAGTTGTTATTTTTGTTTTGTGTGCACAAAAAGGATTCTTGTAACTTGATAATATTCCTAATTATCCACTGAAAACATATGGACTGTTTTGAGGATGTTTTTTGATACCATCCTGGACAAGTCTGTGATCTTGCTGTCTATGGAGGATGAGAAAGCTCTCAGATTTCACCTAATACATGTTTATTTGTATTCTGAAAAAGGTCTCCAGTGTTTGGAACACCATGAGCGTGAGTAAACTTCGATTTTGGGTGAACTATGCCTTTAAAAACGTAGCTGAAACCTTTAAAGAGGTAATGAAAGCATTTGTGGTGTAAACACTCAACTTAGTAAGCAATGTTTTAACAAAATTCCTGTTAATTCATTGAAATAAATTTAATTAAATCCACTTTAAATCTAACCCTCAAAAGCATCCTTGAAATAGTAGTGGCATTAACAAATATAGAAATGGCAGCAAAATATCTTCATCAAATCACCTTGATCCACAGACCATGGCCCAATCACCATTCTACCCCTTAGTCTTTCCCTTCCCCCTCGCTTTTGCACATTCACATGATGGGGCTCTTGATAGTCTCCAATGCATTTTTTATGTAATCTAATGTATTGTTTATTAAATGCCTTGTCAGCAACCAAGGCTATTTTCATGGCAGGAAAATTGCAATAATAAATATGCAATTAAAAATTAACAAACAAATTAATACATAAATTAAATACGATTTGTAGTGTTAATACACCATAAAAATTCTAAAATCTTTTCTGGTGCCACTTTGCTAAAATTGTCCTAAAAAGGTCTTTTAAAAAGTCTTGCTGAAGGACAGTTCAGTAAAATGTGGTTTATAGAGAGGGGAATTGTGCAGTACAAACACTGAGTAGGGTTTTCACCTTGGAGCAAAAAAAAAAAAGTCATGGGTTATTCTTGTAAGTCCAATTCGACATCTGGTCGAGAGTCTAGGGGTAGGGGAATGTGTCAGATAGCTCTTTAAATGAATGATATAAATGAACGGGTATGAGAAAATTGACTGAATACAGCTGCTACAGTTTGGTAAGCAATAGAGACCCACGAATGAAAAAAAGAGTGCTCATGTCATGTTCCTCAAAGAAACATAATAATAAAATTCAAAATCCTCTAAATTTTCACAAACAATAGTTCTTTATAATAACCGCTTCATGTCCCACAACATATTTTAAATTCTGAAACCGGATGACTAGACAGGCAGAATAGTCTAGTGGCAGAGAACTAGCTTTTTACAGCACATCTGGAATAAAGTTACTGTTGTTTTCTTGTGGTTACATTCATGAATATGAGCACTGTGTAAATACACAGTACAGTTTAGTACTTCTTGCATCATGATCCACCAGTCATATGCTCTGTATGAAACCGAGACCCTCAGGGAAATCTGGTGGCTCATACATTTTTTAAACTGAAAATTAACAACCTTTTCTAATGTCATAATATAGCACAAAACATATTTGTGAGTGGGTAATTGCCTTCTGGAATGACGACTTCTCATATGACATATAAGCTATAGCGACAACATATGATGACATGTGTTGGTGTAGTAGTGGTATTTCATTTCATAAGGTATTATTTTCAAGGGCCAAAAGGGAGGCTTAGGGTATAATATAAAATTGGGTCCAAATTGAGGTGCATATTTAAGCATTACCTGTCCTGTGCCAATTTCAAAATAGTTGTAATCCACGTGGATTGAAGACATGGTTCTTCCCACTGGCAGTTTGTTGATGGCAGGATCTGGTGTGGGCTCAGTCTGAACTGGAGCTTGGGTCTGCTTCAGTTCCTCTTTTTCTACAGACTTCTCTTTCAAAGCCTTTCGAGCAGCCTGTCGAAAAACACGTCACATGAAACTTGACAAATAGAAAAGCTATGCAACTACTGAAAGACTGAACATTAGGGAAACAAAAAGAAAAGTGCCTGTTTTGCAGACTTCTCCTTGATAAAATTGGCGAGTTTTTTACGTGGCCCCAGAGGAATGCTCATTTCCTTTAGATCATCCACTGTGCACAGCAGCTGCAATAGAGATCAAGAACAACAATTAGTTCTGATTTTAATACTGGCTATTTCATGGCAAAACCAGATCTAACTTATATATAAACATGATGATATTTTTAAAATGTTATAATAAATATTTATTAATTTTTAAATATTTCTCAAGCGATATTTAAAGGAGGGCGTCAATTTACCCAACTTACCTAATTAAGCCTTTAAATTGTACTTTAAGCTGAATACTAGTATATTGAACAATATCTAGTCAATATTGTTTACTGTCATCATGGCAAAGATAAAAGAAATCAGTTAGAAGTTAGTTATTTAAACTATTATGTGTAGAAATGTGTTGAAAAAAAGCTCCTCGTTAAACAGAACTTGGGTAAAAAAAATGTATTTAACAGCAGGGCTAATAATTCTGACTTTGTATATAGCAGTGTATATAACAATAAAAGACATCATCAGTTATAAATAACGCATTAGATACAAGTCTAAAACAGCTTTTTAAGGATTACTTTTGATTTAAACTCTTGCATCTTGAAAGGATTCACATTCATAAATATTTCCTCTCCAGATAAAAATCATTGTCTGACAGGGCATTCCAAAAGTATGTGTAACAGTTTGATCTCTGTTACAATAAACATTTTGACGGACAAAAAAAATTAAGCTCATTTTAAATGTTCTCACCAGAGACTCAACATCAATTTTCTCATTTTCAAAAATGCTCAGATATTCAGATAACCCAATCGCCTCCAGAACAGACGACAGGCTGCCAGTCTCCTCTTCTTCTTCCTCCTTTGCCTCTTCCTCAACAGCCGCTACAGGAGACACTTCAGCAGCCTGAACTTCAGGAGCAGAATTTACCTAAAACAGTTAAACAATTAAACAATTATGTGATAAAGGTTGTATGGTACAGGAATGCCATAAACAAAATATCATATTTAAATAGACAGTATTTTTTTTAAAAATGTATACACTATAAATGTAATTAATTGACTTAACTCTGAAAAAGTGAGATAACTCATTTAAAACAGTTAAGCTGACTTAATTTGTATAATAACGCACAGTTAATTTACTCAATTTTAAGGTAACCTGTTTATTCTTTTATTTATTATTAAGTAAAGTCAGTGAATAAGTTGCTTCTTATCAAAACTGCATTGTAACACAGATAAGTCACAATTTATTATTTTAGTCAGAAATGAATGTAAAAAGGGACACAAGCGCTCTAAATTAAATCTTAACATTTATAAACATGTTTTTATTTCCCCTCATTCCATAGCAAACCCTTAAAATAGAGGACAGAAAAGAAAACAAAATAAAATCATTATAAAATAAGCACAAAAAACACTATTTGCTATAAACATCAAGCTGGCAGCACAGTTGCTCAGTGGTTAGCACTGTTGCCAAACAGCAAGAAGGTCACTTGTTCGAGTGCCAGCTAAGCATTTTTTTTTTTTTTTTACAATTTGCTTTCACCATTTTAATTGCTAGAACAGTAGAGAGTATAGACAGGAAAGCATGAGGAGAGAAGAGAGGGGAAGGATCGGCATAGGACTACGAGGTGGAAATCGAACACAAGTCACCGTGAACACCATGTGTGCCATGTGCCGACGCACTAAACACTATACCATTGCCGCTGACCAGGCTGGGCATTTCTGTGTTGAGTTTGCATGTTCTCCCCGTGCTTGCGTGGAGAATTTTCCTCTGGGTGCTCCGGTTTACCACACAGTCCAAAGGCATGCACTATAAGTGAATTGAATAAACTAAATTGGCTGTAGTGTATGAGTGTGTGTGAATGAGAGTGTGTGTGGTTGTTTCCCAGAACTGGGTTGCGGCTGGAAGGGCTTCTGCTGCGTAAAACATATGCTTGAATAGTTGGCCGTTCATTCCACTGTCGCGACCCCTAATAAATAAGGAACTAAGCTAAAGGGAAATTAATGAATGAAAGAATGAAGCTTAATAAATGTGTAAAGCGAAACTAAATCTGTGTAAAAAATGTCAAATATAAGTGTGTCAAGTGTGCTAAACAAATCCTCTTTTCTCTCTCATTCAACAAACAGACTTGCTTAAAAATTGAAATTGAGGGGCAAGATTTACTCTATACACATTTGGCACATTAAGTCTATATTTGTTAAATAAGGAATGCAAGCCCTAAATTTTGGTCATAAATCTCGTGCAGTATGGCACTAAAGACCTTTTGGTCGCAATCCTTTGGGCAAAAATGCAAAAACCTACTGAAAATTTTTTTTGCTTGCATTATTTAAGCCTCTGGAATATAAATAAATAACTATATAGTCAGTTAGATAAGCAGAAATAAGCTACTTGTTTTATAAATGTACATTTAATGTCATCATCATTTATACATCATTTTACCTGTTTCACATTAGGTGCAGAATTTCCATTGAATATTGGAGCTGAAATGGGGGAGCCGATCTTCTGATTGGACAGTAGATCAAAAAGTATCAAAGAGCCTATAAATAAAGCAAAGCAATGTAAGAAAATTGCAAAACAAATATGAATAATCGTTCAGTCATGTTTATATACCTCAAACTTATTTCGATTTATCTATCAATATGAAGCTAAAAATCATTGGGTATGCTCACAATAGCATGTTTATGTTTATTCGAAACTTGGTCCACACCTAACAAGTTCAACAAATAAAATGATGTGGTTTGACTGAAATATATACACAACATGGACCAAAGACATTGAAATGGACTACAGTAAAAACAGGACATGCTGTTGTGACCATAAAAAGGTCATCTCATGTATACCTCATGGGAAATGTGTCTCTATGCAGCAGACAACAATAGTATGAAGAGGGAACTGCTTTGATATATTTTGAAGCTTGTCACGAGTTCTGCATGTATAGTTTTCTTTGTAAGTTCGAACCAAAAGAAGCAAGAGAATGGCTGTATTTATAAGTGTGTCAAAAGAAAGCATTCTCACCCAAGCTGTGTCCAGCTACAGACACCCTGCCTTTAAAGTCTGGGTTTCTTTGCATGAATAGTGTGTGTAAACGGTTCATCTCAAAAGCAACGGTGTCCATAATGGTCTGGCAGTAAGTCGGGCTGTTGTAGAAAAGCACGTCTAGAAGGGTTTCATTAGTGAAGTGACGTAATCGACCAGTGCTAGGCAGTGTAATCTTCTTTATCCTCCTACATGATAAAAAAATATATTAGAAAACATATCTTATGCCGAAAAACAAAACAAAAAAACTGTACTCTGAGTTTTGTTGACTTCTCTTTAATTGTCATCGATCTCTTTCAAGGTTAGGCAAGTTTATTTATATAGCACATTTCATACACAGTGGCAATTCAAAGGGCTTTACATAAACAAGAATAAAAAAGTATAAGAAAACAAAATGATTAAAAACAGATAAAGATGTGTTAAAACGGGTTATAAAAGAATAAAAGAGAAAAGAAAAACATGATAGTGCGATCTGTCGGACGTAGCACAGTGCTCATTCAGTAAAGGCACAGCTAAACACATGTGTTTTCAGTCTTGATTTGAATGTGCCTAATGTTAGAGCACATCTGATCATTTCTGGAAGCTGATTCCAGCAGTGAGGGGCATAGTGGCTGAAAGCAGATTCACCCTGCTTTGACTGAACTCTTGGAATTTCTAGTTTACTTGATCCTAATGATCTGAGTGATCTGTTAGGTTTGTATTCACTGAACATATCTGTAATGTATTGAAGTCCTAGGCCATTTAGTGATTTGTAGACAAGTAATAGTATTTGTAATACTTTCAGCATTGTTTTGAATTTCTAATTTTATTTGTTTAAATGTGTCTTGGTATGGTTAACATTGCCTTACATAACCTTTAATACCTGTATAGTTTATTGTATACTTTGGTGTATATTATTTTTAGAGAATAAAAAATATATATTTTATTATCTAGCATATATCTGTCATTTCCTCTTCAGTCTAACAAGCTAGTTTTTTCCTTCTTATAATTCTCTGTATGCTTATATTTATTTTTAATTTCTCATTATGCTCACTGTGGTATGTGGATTGTTAGTTCAAGTTATTTTTGTGTTCAAACAAATAAAAAAGAACAACAAGAATTATAAAAAAAAACATAATATATTTTTTACTTATTTATTTTATGTGTAATCGATACAGCACCCAAGTACAACTGAATGTATGTATATGTTCTTTCTACCTGTCAACTCCAGTAGCATCTCCATGCAGAGCTGTGTGCCAGTGCACAGGCAGAAACTCCACACGACTGATGACATGATCATCACGGGCCTTCCTGAAATGACTATTGAGCAACTTTAAGGACACACTCCGGAAGTCATCCACTGTGAACAAACAAACAAACAAACAAACAAACAAACAAACACACACACACACACACACAAACACGTTAACAGAAGCAAAATACACTGCGTTCAAATCAAGAAACAACTTGAAGTAGGATATGTTAAATGGACTAAATTATTAAAGCGAAAGTTCCCCCCAAAATAGAAAATGTTTTTGGTTTCAGACCTTTACAACTTTCTTCCATTGACCACAAAGATTATATTTTTAGGGAAGCTGAAAAATCGCTAACCATTAACATCCATTGCTGGAAAAAAAAATACGGTGAAAGTCAATGGTTGCAGGTTTCCAGCTTTCTTCAAAATATTATCTCATGTATTCAAAAGAAATACAGTAGTTAACATTTAAAGTGGTTCAATACCTTTATCAAAGTTGTCCTAAAACTACTGAACAACACCCATTCTTGTCTTGGGACAATTTAAAAAACATTGTTGAATGTTTGAATACTGTAGATTTGAAACAAGCAAAGGGTGAATAAACAATGGCAAAATGTTCAGCTTTGGGTGAACTATCCCCATAACTTTAACCTATTGAATGTCTTAAAAACTGTATTTGATCTGGAGAGTAACTTAGTGTAACATACCGCACTCCACCATACTCCTAAACCGCAGATCACAGACAGGACCAATGCCGTGCACCATAAAAACCAGATGATCAACCTGAGGCATCTCACCTAGACAGGAAATTGCAATAATCTTCAGTCATTCCTCTATGCCAAGCATTTACATTTAAATATTGTTTGACATATCATATTCTGAAATTTAAGGGAATTTTAAGATGAGAATTTTTTTTTTTATCACAAATTTCTGTCTGGATTAAGTAAGAAAATGAGAATTCTAACGTCAGAAGTTATTTACCATCAGGGACTTCATCATGATCATCGTCTACACCCCTCTTGACAACGCGAGGTCGAGTCTGGCCATCCTGTGTTGTACCCCATTCATCAGCAACAGCAGATGGCTGAAACTGCACAATCACCTGAGGAGGAACAAAGCACAGTTAAGCTAAAAGAAACAATGTTAACTATGGAAGCACATTTCAGCCACAAATGAACATAAGGTAATTGTGACTTTCAATGACAATTCTGACTTGATCTCTCCACACAGTTCTGACTATTTTCCTTTTTCTGTTTTGTATAATTCCTAAAAAATAAAAATTCTAACCTCATTTCTTGCAATTCTGACATTAATTCTGACATTTCAGATATTATTTCTTGCAATCCAAAGATTACTTAATCCAGTTCTGAGTTGATTTCATATAACTTGCAGCTTATTTGTTCCATCTCACAACTGATTATTTCTCAACATTGTTTATTTATTTTTTTTATTTCTTGCTATTCTGCGTATTTTATCTTACAATTCATTTTTTTTTCTTTTATCAAATCTTTTTTTTTGCCTTAAACTGTGAGATATTCACAAGCAATTTCAAAAAAATACAAAATTTTGAGGTAATTTTGTATATTTTTTTAATGTGACTGAACTAAGCTTCCATAGTTTCCCATCAATCTGATAGTGTTGTACCTTTGGATTGTGCATCACGATGGTCTCACCAGATGGAAACTCCAGTCTGCGGTGCCACTGATTAGTAGTGACTGCTTTCTTATATTCCGCCTGTTTACAACACACACAACATTGAAAAATTAAATGACGTCCTGAAGAGCCAGCATTCAGAATATAGTTTTACAGAAAAGCACAAACCTCCAGCTTTTCACTGAAGTCTTCTGAATAGGGGATAAAGCGACTGTCTGTATCTCCTTTGTAGAACCAAGTACAGCGGCGGACCTCTGTGGGGTCCTCTTCCCAGTACACAGAGGTCCGTGTGCGGTCGTACAGTTGAACATCATAGCGTCCTCCATCCGTACATACAATCACACTCTCTGGATCTGGCTGAACTGAAGCAACAGATTGCAACGTGACTATGTGGTGAAACAGACTAAGAGTGTCCACATGCTCTTGGCATGCAGAAAAACACTTTTAAAGGAGTTCATTTCCTATAAATTACATGACAAAGATGATGTGACAGATGAAGGGTTTGGCTTATTATTAGTCAAGTTGGTAATCCAAAACGTGAACTGCACACAATAAAAGCAGACAAGTAAATATTGGTAACAACTTGCACAATTTGTCCTGTCAATAAAACTGTTTACAGGTCCCATGAAGTGCTTTGAAAAATGAAGAGACGGTGGGACAGAGTAGCTCCTCCCCTTTTAAAAAAAGCAGCCAATGGCATTTTGTCTCATCACCGCTCTGCCAGTGAGAGCGGTCAAGCTCAAGCGCATCAAATGAAAAGCATCTTGAAGGGGGTGGGGCATGTGAGACACTAGAGAGCATTTGATTGGTCAAAATTTGATAAGAATCTAAAATATGAGGTAATGTGGAAAAAACATTGATCCATTTAGGCGGAAGTGACAAACTGCAAGCGTTACATGCTTATATCAGTTTTATATGTTTTACATGCAAATTTTGTCATTGTTGTTCACCACACTAACTTATAGATATCCTTGAAGATCAACAAACTGATACTAATAAAATTTTCATTTCACTGGACCTTTAGGGAAAACACTTATTGTCTTACCAGAGTTGAACGTTTCTTCCAAGCGAATAGAATCCAGAATACTGAAGGGTAGCCAGACAATTTTTGACTCCACTTGTTTGCAGTAGAACCAGTGCGGCTGTACAGGCTCATAAACATTATATGTGTATGGCATCATTGGGTTGGCAGGGACTAATGGTCCGGCCATGCTGGTTGTTGGAGGGGGCGGTGGGATCTGTGTTGGAGGTGGCTAAAGTATAGCAAAGCAGTATTAGCATAAAGTACAATCCACCTTTAAAACTGTTATAAAACATCTGTTTCCCTAAACATCCCTGTTTCCCTTTTTTCCTTTTTTAATTTCCCAAATGACGTTTAACAGAGCAAGGAAATTTTCACATTCTGTCAGATAATATTTTTTCTTCTGGAGAAAGTCTCCAGACTTTGTTTTATTTCGGCTAGAATAAAAGCAGTTATTTTTTAAAAACATTTTAGGGACAAAATTATCAGCCCCTTTAAGCTATATTTTTTCGATAGTTTACAGAACAAACCATCATTATGCAATAACTTGCCTAATTACCCTAACCTGCCTAGTTAACCTAATTGAGCCTTTAAATTAAACCTAGTTGAGCCTTTAAATGTAACTTTAAGCTGTACAGAAGTGTCTTGAAAAAGATCTAGTCAAATATTATTTAATGTCATTATGGCAAAAATAAAAATAAAAATCAACCATTAAAACCATTATGTTTAGAAATGTGTTGAAAAAAAATCACTCTGTTAAACAGAAATTGAGGAAAAAATTGAACGGGCTATATATATATATCCAAAACCAATATTGCTTAAGGGGGCTAATATATATATATATATATATATATATATATATTAGCCCCCTTAAGCAATATTGGTTTTGGATAGTCTACAGAACAAACCATTGTTATACATTGACTTGCCTAATTAAACTTAGTTGCGTAATTAACCTAATTAACCTGGTTAAGCCTTTAAATGTAAGTTGAACAATAGTGTCTTGAAAAATATCTAGTAAAATATCATGTACTGTCATCATGGCAAAGATAAAATAAATCTGTTAAAAGAAATAAGTTATTAAATCTATTATGTTTAGAAACATATTGAAAAATCTTCTCTTCGTTAACGATAAATTGGGGGAAAAAAATATAAAGCAGACTAATAATTTTGACTTCAACTGTATATTAAATACCACTGAAAAAAGTTAAAATTTATTTACCAAAAAGTCAGTCTTCAGTCAGTCAAAACATGACATAACATCCACCTCTTACATGTAACAACAGACTTATGCACCCAGTAATTTAAAGACAATGATGACGTTACAGTACCTTAGTGAAGGCTGTGGGTGGAGTCTGGAAGGATGGAGTAGGTGTGGGCTGAGAGTAGGGGTTCAGATGCTGAGGTGTTTGACTGGGGGGCTGCTGCTGTAATTCAGGAGCCATGAGGTAAGGATTAGCTTTGCTACTGACCGCTGTGTGACGATATGGGTTATAGGACTGCTGGGAGCTCTGGGGAGGAGGAGGAGTGGGTGCATTAGGTGGGGGTGTGTATGTGCGCATAGGGGCTTGATTAGCAACACTGCCATACTGCTGAACTGGGTTCATGTGGGATACAGGTGGGTTTAGAGGCAGACTAGCTGCGATGGATGCCGGTAACGGGCCTGTTGTTGATGGAATAAAATTGGCAGCTGGAGGTGGGCATGACTGCTGCCCTATAGAAGCAAACGGGTCACTACTGTTGGCAGTGTTTGAGAAATAATTGAACGTGGAGGTCTGAGGAGCTGTAGATGTTGTCTGACCAAGAAAGCTGTCTTCTTCTCCAACTTCACTGGCATCTTCTGCACAGAGAAAAACAAAAATCTAGCATCATTTTTAATATCAATACATGATAGAGTGGTGCAGGAATGGTGTCAGAAGAGCGTTAAGAATAATTCAACATGGAGTTCCTTAATTTTTTTCTTTTCAATTGGAAATAAACAAAAAGTAAAATAGGGTATGTGAAGAACATAATCACATGTTACTGAAATGTTTAGTTCTACTGCCATCTTGTGAACTTACATGAAAATATATTTTATTACTGATGTTAACAAGGATTATTAAATACTGTAAAATACATTGCAAGAGAATTATTCTGTAAGGTTTTTTGCTTTGATGAGAAGTTTGATCTAATTCTCAAAGCATTCTCTAGCATTTTAATGTTGTTGATAACCCTAGGCTTACTGAGGTGCGTTATCAGTCACCTTTGATAAAAAATATAGGCTTTCTAACTGTCTTTTTAATGTGTATTGTGTGGTTTGTACTGTTTCGTCTGTCTTTTGTATGATTGGACCTAGTGTCTGGAATAAAGAGAATATAAATACATAATACATCCATACAAGGCAATTGTATTTATATAGCACAATTTTAAAGACAAAGTTGACCAAAGTGCTTTACACCATACACACAGAAATCAATTTAAAACACTAAAACAAATGATGTCATAATAGAACAAAGACTGTCAACATGAATGTAGTTCATACAATATAATCATAAAACAGTAGTTCAAGGGAAATTAAATGCCATGGAAAGAATATGGCTCTTAAAACAAAACTTAAAAAAAATACAGGTATGAGAGACTTGCAACAGTTCAGAGTCAGCAGATTGAAATCATCTATGTGGTATGGTGCTGTAATAGCTCAGTTGGATATTTTGGGGCCTGACTGTGGAGGGATTTGACATAGATCATTGTTGGTTTATGTTAGCTAATGCATTAACAATATGAAACGAAGAAAACATTATTGTAAAGTATCACCATAAAGGGAATAGAATATGTTGATATTTATTATGCTTGCTATATTTATGTTATATAAAATGATGAATTGTAATGAATTGTAAATGAAGTATATTTGTCATTTTATTGATCTAAACAAATAAACAAGGAAGTGGGTTTAGGCTATAAGTAATACTGCTGTGAAATTAACTGGTCATCATACAAGAGGTTTTAAATATACACTACCGGTCAGATTTGAGGTCAGTTTTTTTTTTTTTTTTTTTTTTTTTTTACAGAAAAGTATTCTGTTCATTAAGGTAGCATTTCTTAAAAAAAAAAAAAAAAAAAAAAAATATATATATATATATATATATATATATATATATATATATATATTTTTTTTTTTTTTTTTTAACAATTTTAAAAATAACTGCTTTCTTATTGTATAAAGTTTTAGGTGAAATTATTACTCCAGTCATTATTGCTTTTGTTACTATTTCTATAAATATTATTATTAGTAGTAGTAGTAGTAGTAATAACAATAATAATAAATAGTATTAGAGTGATTTCTGAAGGTTCATGTGACTGAAGACTGGAGTAATAAAGCTGAAAATTCATTTTTAAAATCGGAAAATGGAATAGAGGAACTAAAGATAAAGACATTTACTTCATATTTCTTACATCTCAAATGTTTTCCTACATATCTGATAGCGTTGAAGCATATATATTATTTAATGATTGCATACCTGGACACGGCAGTATTTTGTTTATACAGTATATGTAATGTAATTAAATGTGTGCTGACAGGTGGTTTATGTATTGTGAATAAAAATTTATTAACATGGTTCAGCTTAACAGAAATGTCATTTTTGAGTTCAAAACAAAGTAATGATATCTGATTAATTTTACACTTAAAATGTTATCGATGAAAATATTAAGATAGTCTGCCACGTATATAAACAAAACTGTAACGTCAACTACTAAGTTATCCGTTACTCACAGTGCTCAGGACAATCATCTCTATACAAAATTCCTCAAATATAAAAGTAAGAATTACAGCTCTGTTTTCTGGATGTCAAGACCAAAATAATCCCACTGAAAACAATCAGACAGCAGAGACCTTTGAGCTGAAAACAGATGAAGGCTAACATCACTAGCCTCTAAAGCAGCTCATTTTGGGACTTTCTAAACTCACCTCCGGATAAAACGGCCGGGCCGGTGGCCTGGCTGACCGGTATGAATGGCAGGCTGAAGTTGAACTCCGGAGCTCCTGAAAACAGAAGATTTGCGCTGCTACTGGGGGTGTTATTGGCTTTCCTATCAGCCATTTTCAATCAAATATTACACGTAGCTTGTCCTCCAGTCGGAACAGGCAGAGCTCTTTTTTGCAGCACTTCCTTGTTCGTCACAGCAGTGTTAAAGGGGTATGTGGATTTTCGCAGATTTACACGTCATTGATTGTCTGAAAGATTCATACAGTAATCGACATTCACGCCTGTTATATGATGTACAGATCTGCGACACGTTGACGTAGCAAGGCAAAAGTAATCAACAACAAGCGACTTCGATTTCTTTCGCTTTTCTTTTAAAAAAATTGTAACACGTTAAAGTTAGAAGGCAAACGCACTTTCAAAACGGCTACGTTAATTGTTAAGTTTCAGCGTAAAGGCTGAAGGTTGTCATACCTTAAAATAAACACAACTATATTTTTTATTGTTATTGTCTTCTGCCTTATTATTCATTATTTTAATTAAGTAAGAAATATATTTTTGTTTATATTATACAAATTTAATGCATTTATAATTATAGATTTTGATGTATTTAAATAATTTATTCCAGGAAAGAGTAATAAAGTAAATCAGTTTCTGCAGTTGCTACAATGCAAATCGGTGAACTACTGCCAAGTCTACACAGGGCAGCGAATGCAGGCACGTTGGTCACGTGTTAGTTTCATGACGCAATTTTCCCGCCACGGTGTATTGTGCCGTGCTAAACTCTGAAACGTGTTTACTGTAGTACACGTCAAAGGAGTATTACTTTTAACTTTGGTCTGTTTCTGAATCCTGCAGCGATGCCCACTACTCATGACTGGATCAATAACCCGCTGGGTGTTGTTGACGGGCTGTTTGGTAAGACAAAATGTGTGTTTTTGTACTAATATATGCAGTTCAGAGATGAGCCATGTGACCCGTGTCATGCTATGCTTTTAAATCGCTCTGTACATGTGCTGACAGTAATTATATTGTAAATAACCTACGTTTTTTTGCTTTATGCTCCCACAGCCCAGAGTAACTCCAGTCCAGACTGGGAGAAGAAAGTTGTGGAGTATTTCAAAGAGAAACTGAAACTAAACGACGCTCATACATGGGTAACTGTCATAAAGCAAATGTTTTTGTATATTTTGATACATATGAATAACTTTATGCGATATTCTGGCAAGATTATGTGGATATGCTTAATTTTAGGATGTTCAAATTTATTGTTCTATATAATTAAGCTTTCTGGAAATTATATTATTACATTGCAATAAACCGGTTTCTTTTGTTATGTAGACTTGCCTGGTCCTAATCTATCATTCTATTCTGCACAGCTTTGTGTAAACACAGGGTTGTAAGGGTAGCCATGATAATTGTCCATAATGAATGGTTATGGTGAGGGATCACATGTTTGACTGTGGTTTCTTTAGGTTCCTTCTCTGAATGATGTTCCTCTGCACTACCTAAAGCCCAACAGCCTTGTAAAATTTCGTTGCATGGTCCAGGATATGTTTGATCCAGAGTTTTTCATGGGTGTTTATGAGATGAACGATCCCACATCAAACTCTAAAGTGAGTATTGACTAATAGAAGTAAATTTTTGCTCTTATGTTGTTGTTGTTGTTAAACATAATCGACTACATAGCAATAGCAGTCAATTGTATTGTTTTACAATCTTTGGAGTTTTTAGACAAAAATCTGGTTGAATAATTCCTAAATGTGTCCTTACTACAGCAGGTGAAATGTGGAAAATACAAAGATGTCACAGAGTGCGGGGTGAGTAAATCTTTCACTCTTCAACATGTAAACATACTGTACACGTCACTAACACACTGATAAACAATGTCTAGTAAAATAGCATTATATTTATTTTATATTACACATAGTTGTGAAAAAGAAAATCAAGCATGTATTATTTAAAATCTGGCTTTGATTTGTATGATTATGCTTAAACAGACTATTTTATTCAGTGCATTTTACTAAAGAAAGCACAATAAAAATCCCAATAAACAATATACATCTTACACATTGCAAAAAAGTTAATATATAAACATGAGAACAAAAATAATTTTAAAACTCATTCAACATTTTCTTTAAACATTTGTCCAGTAAATATTATAAATGGTTCTGTTCCCTTTTTGTTAATTATTTTAAATAGAGGAACTGTTTTTCTGTTTTCTTCACGACATTGATCTGAACTGATGGATTAGAACTAAATTTACTAACTATGTGTATTAGAACTAAAATGTATTCCTGCAATGCTGTTTGTTTAAAAGCCTTTACCAAATGTCAATGTCATCAGTGGGTAGTTTAGAAACTGGCATAAAACATATGAAAACATTTTATTTTGCGCCTTTACAGATACCTTTGCTGAAAGTTCTAGTCAAACTCCTCACTGACATCATCATAATAGAAACGTTGGACATAAGCCTTTTATGACTAAATGAGAAAATTGCACAATTAAAAAAAATAGATATTAACATGTAGTTAACAACTCCGAAATTCAAAATAGTTCAGATTGATCTGCAACATAATATCAACATTAAATGGACTTTGAATTTTTGTCAGCAGCTCTATATAAATTATAATAACAACTGTTCTGTTTTTATCAGCAGGTGGACTTTAACTCAAGAAACACAGTGACTTCAGAGAGACAGACGTTTTACTGTGTCCCGATCCCAGGAGAATCCAATTGGGTCAAGGAAATATCCTTTATTTGAAGCTAGGATCATGTTTACAATTCAGTTGAGTTTACAAGCATTTTGATTATTAAAAGCAAGTTCACGTATGCACAAATATGCTGATCACTTACAAAAATAAGCTTATTGAAATGACTTGTTCTGGTATACATGCAAACCATAACCAGCCAATGCAATCAACCATCGTTAATGAGGCTTTGGGTTCATCTAAAATTGCACACCGCCCTATTTTATAGTATGTTAAAAGCGATATGTGAGGTGATTACTAAGTCTGAATTTAAAGTACTTGCAAAAAGTATATGAGAATACGCAAATTGCCTATTACTTATAGTGAGATCCTGAAGTGCGCATTCAACAGACACTTCACTATCCCATGAGGCCGATTTCAGCTTTTGTTAATAAATCTGTGTTATTTTCTGGTAGTGGCATCAACCCCAAACAGTTTGCCAATGTAATGGGGTATTTTTATTTTTTTTTATGTTGGTTGTCCTATTAAATAAATCATTAAAAACTCAAGAAGTGTATTGCCATCTCAGCAAAAGAACACATTTAATATACAAGTCTTTGTTTTTAAATGCTTTTTAGTTTGCATAATATTTTCTCCTCCCATACTGCAAAACATTTTTCTCTCTCCAAGTGTTTAAACTGACAGTAAACATTTGATTTGTGATGTGACTCACACATCACATGTGCATTTCAATAAACCAACAGAAAGCAGTTTAATACAGGTTCATGCAGAATGAAATTGGCATCATGGGGCAAAATCTGGCGTTGAGGGTCAGTTTATGCTTATATAAATGACTTAAGCATAATTTCATTGAATTGAACATGATTAAGTTCAAGTATGTGAATTTTTACAATGACCAATATGGAAGTTCATCACATCTTTAACAGCCCAGAACAGCTATGCAGGCACTAGTCAGGCACGAGTGGTGCCCTCCACTTCCTACGTCCCCAACAGGCATAAGCGCAGCTATGAAGAAGACGATGAGATGGACACGCAGTGCCAACAGACCAAAGATATCAGCCAAGGTAAGAAAGAATAATTAACCTTATCAGTCTGTGAGCATGTAGACTGTTTTGGTCTACCAATGATATATAAATGTTTAGGACTAAAAGGTTTGTCATTGAACAGGAGCTCAAAGCTCTTCTGAGTCTCACGGCAACACTGAGCCGAAGCGTCAAGAGACCGAAGCCCCCAGTCAGGACTCGTCTTCATCACACTGCACATCCAGCCTGGATCTCAACTTCCCTTTGCCTGGTGAAAAGGGCCCAGCCTGTCTTGTTAAGGTTTAACTGTTCTTTCATCTTAATCCATTGTCTTGACACACGCTCAATTAAATTATTTTTGTCATAGGTTGTCGTTTTTAATGCGCTGCTTTCAGACTCAAGCCTTTCAGAATCAAGCTGTCTTGAGCAGCCACATGTTAACATAGTAATTTACTTGCAATAATATGATGGTTCGCACCATTGGATTGTTCTCCACCTACACAGACAGTCATATAAATCTAGCGTCTTCTGTAATTGGCAGGTGTATGAGGACTGGGACAGTTTCAAGCTGAATGACATGTTGGAGGTATTTGGTATCCTCTCTGTGGACCCAGCCTTGAGCGTGATTGCAGATGAGAGGTAATCTGGAGCCTTTTTTGAGATGGTTGTAATTGCTATAGGAGGTTCTCTGCAGTTAAACTGTAATATAATGTTTGTCATATTTTCAGAGAGGCATCTTCATTGCTGGACCCCACAGAAGGCATGGAGACTATGGAGGAACAGAGAGTTCACAGCCCACCAGCGTCACTTGTACCACGACTGCACATGCTGTATGCTCAACCTCTAGCGCACAACAACCCACTGCTGCCCTCTAGTCCACTGGAGAATAACGCAGACTGTAAGATATTACTTGTGTGATTTGGGATTTGCTCATTTTAGTGAAATTTATACACTCACCACAGTCACTTTATTATTTACACCTTGCTTGTGTTTAAGTTGACATTTTTATTTAAATTCTTTATTTAACAGGGATTGTGGACAATCAAAAAACTGCCCCAGAATTAGCTACATAGCTACATAGCTGTGTTTTATTATGATATTTTGATAATGTTTTTGTTATATAATTTGTATTTTCCTGCCCAGAATTAGCTACATAGCTAATTCTGGGCAGGAAAATACAAATTATATAACAAAAACATTATCAAAATATCATAATAAAACACACACTTAATGGTCACACACCTGAAGCATTTTAACCAGCATTTCAAATGCAGCTTGAACTTGGACTCTGTCTTATGATAATTGGTAGATTATTCCATTTACAAACAACTCAGTGACCCTAAAATTCTTCAATCAACTCTTGATGAAACAATATCCTTCAATTTGAGTTTAGTATTAGGACTTATCAGGCACTTTTTTCATTGCAAGATGTAGC